GAATCATTGTCTTTTCTCCGATATCAAAAGCCTAAGAATGATACATGACCACTGTTTATCTGTCCACAAGAGAGGCAAAATTGGTTAGATGTTGATCTAGTTTTCAGCACATGCTGTATCTCTTTTGCTATCATTTCATAGACCTTGACTACAGTGGGCTCTTGACCATAGATATAAAAAGCAAACAATATATCCAGGGTAAGAGTGTTTAAATCTCACAAAGACCCAATTGTATATAAGGTATTTGGGGCCTAAGTTCACAGGAGCACAGCATGCATAACTTTGGATCATTTAGTCAAGATAATAGAGTGTCCTCATAAAGTAATCTGGGAGCAGAGACTAGATAAGGGCTTTCCAGAATTTTATTGAGAAAGTAAAAAATAAATAAATGTCATAGCTGTGAAGGCTGTCACACAGAAATGGGGAGAGAGGGTGATGAGGAGTGGTGTAGCTGCCAACCAGAGATGCTGGCTTGTGTTGTGGGGAGGTTGGAAGTTTCAGTAGGAATTGGAAAGCTGGCAGGAGGGGGTGGGGGTGGAGAACTCTTCACTTCCTTACGCTCCCTCTAAATTCCAGGAAGGAAGGAAGTATTAAATACTGGGGCAACTCTAGCAAGTAAGAAGAAGTGACTTTCCTCGGTTGGGACAAGGCTGCGGCAAGACTATGTTTATCAAAGTGAGATGCTTTTATGGAGTCATCTGGAGTTCAGAGTTCTGGAGTTGCAAGAATAGACAGCTAACTGGCCAGAAGCTTCAAGTTCCTGTCAGGCTGAGTGTCCGCTCATATAACCCTTGGGAAAGTCTTCTCAATCAGTTCAAGAATCCAATATCATGGGCAACAAAAGGAGAAATACAACAAAGGAGGATATCCAGAATTTAGGTGGTGTCAAGGATTGTATAAGAACCCACAAAATAATAGGGCTTTCAGCAGACAAGTATGGCTTTGATTAGATTAAGAACTGGACAATTTCAAGAGGTCCCATGCCAGTATTTAGAGGATGAAGACCGACCCTTGTTCATTTTAATGGAGGATTTCCATGGGAAACTTAAGTGGACTTTGTCATAGCTTTCTAGAGTTCTCCATCTTGCCTTTCCAGACAAATTGGAACAAACATGGGATGAGACAAAATGGAGACAGTAGGTGCTTTCCAGCAACAAAATCTGCTTTTGAATGAAGCTGAGCCATGAAATTCTCTGAGTATCATTAGGTCAGCCTATATCTCTCAACCTAACCTTCATCACAAGGTTGTGATAAAAAAGCAGCATCTCTCAAAAGCCAAACATCCTTGAGCATATAAATCCACTGCTTTATGAAGTACATTTTCAATATATTTGTGGCCAATGCAAGTACTTCTGATGCCATGTATGAAAACATCCTGAAATATCTCTATGTCCTAGGAGACAATGTTCTTTCCAGTGTAGATACCCTTTAGTTCTGGTGTGATTAGCATTATTAATCCTGCTTTTTGGACAGAGTTTGTCCTCAGCCTTCTAGAGAGGGCAGAGATTCTTTTTTAAAGAGTTCTCAGATCTAGCAACACTTCCTTGAAGAACTGGCAGGCTTATTTCAAATAGAATAAAACAGGATTTCACAGTCACTTATATGTGCAGAAGCTAGCTTCCTGCTTTCCCTCCCCATCATTCTCTAGGGGTTAATGGCAACTTCAGGTGGCTTTCTCTCACTCCTTACGCTTTTCTTGTTTATAGCCCCAGCAGAATCTCCTATTCCTTTGAGTCCTTTGAGTTCTGCTAGGCCAGTTTTAACCAAGAAAGAACAAGCAAATGATCTAGCACTTAGAAGTAGAGAAGGTAGAAGTTATCTCTATTTATTCATGCATTGTAAGTATCTGGTTCTTTAAAACAAGCAAATAAACCAGGAATCCCCACATTCAGACTGTTTCTGTTTTAACTGCTACATTATACTCTTTTGGAACAAGGTGGGAGGGGAGGGGCAGATCTGTGCATGGGATCTGAATCTGTGCGTGGGAGCCTGGAAACATTTGGCAACATCAGATGAGGCATGCTGAAATCATTTTCAGCTCTTGCGTCCAATCTCCTTGCTGTGCAAATAAGTAACGCAGAACAAAAGCAGGCTTTTATTGCTTTTTTATTGTCTTCTTCCCTGTTCTCATCAGTCCTAAAAACATCTTTCACAGTGCGGGAGTAAAATGAAGAAATCAAGCCAAAAAACCAAGATGCCCGTCCTCTGATTTGATGCCTGTTGAGCATACATTTAGAAAATAAAGCCAGGAGCATTAAAACTTAAATTTACTCAACCAAAGAGAAAAAATGATATAGACATACATTAAAATAGTCCTTCCTTGCCTCCCAATTATCTCAGAAAGTACCCTTAAGGAATTAGAGGCTTTCATCACCACACACTTATTTTTGTAGCACACCCATTCACATGCAACATTGCACACCTACTAGGGATGGAAGGATCTGTCAATTTCAATTCTCTCCGTTTCTCATTTTTCTAATCTTAAATTCAGTCCTCCCTATTTTGCAGTATTTTTTTTGGCAGTGATTTTTTTTTTTTAAAAAAAAACCCTACTACCAGGTTGTGGGGAACCAGAGCATAAAACTCTGACCTTATTTTATCTGCACTAGTTGCCCCTTGTTTCTTAGCTTGACTTAAAATGCCAGTGACATTGCTCAAATAGGCAAAAGAGCAGATTGGTTCTGAAACACTGTGATCCTCTATAAGTCTGCCCAGCCTCTATGATCAACCTTGGGACCTTGCTCCTTGTTTCATGATATGAGGCAGGTACATTCAAAAACCATTGTCTTCTTGGTGGTGGCACCAGTGGCGTAGCATGGGGGTGCAGGGGGGGCCGGCCGCACCGGGTGCAACATCTGGGGGGGGCGCGCTCGCACTCGCAGCTCTCTGCCCCTACCTGGCTCACTCACTCTCTCTCACTGCAGTGCTGGCTGTGTGAATCCAATCCGATCCGCTGGGTCGCCGCCCACTGTGGAGGGGGTGGGTGCCAGGCGTGCGGTGTGGAGAGAGAGCGAGGGACTATCTGGGGGAGGGACAGTGCAGCGGCCGCCCAGCGCAGCGCTGAGCGCGGGAGAGAACCACACCAGACCAGACCAGGCAGCAGCAAGAAGAAGCTGGCAGCGGCGGCAGGTTAGGGGTTAGGGGGCGCAAATTACTTGCCTTGCCCCGGGTGCTGACAACCCACGCTACGCCGCTGGGTGGCACCAAGACTGTGGAATTCCTTCCTGGCCTATTCTTTGCTAATCTTCAGACAGTTAGTGAAGATGATGGTTCAGGTGATATTTAATGCCACCTGCTGGAGCTTATAGTTTTGTACTGCTGTGATTGTTATATTCTGCATGATTTTTCTGATAAAAATAGGGATATCCTATTCCATATCCTCCAACATGTCTCTGATGAAAGCAAGGTTGTCCAGTGACATTTTTCTAGAGAAAGAGGTGCTGGAACTCACCACCAATGCCTTCCTTTTTCTCTTAGAATGGCAATGGTGCCAACCTAAGAGGTGCCACAACTGAGTTCTGGTGAGTTCCAGCTGAAAAAAAAGCCCGGGGGATGCCCTATTCCATACCCTCCAACATTTCTACAATGAAAATAGGGACATCCTACCATATCCTCCAACATTTCTCTGATGAAAATAGGGACGATCTAAGGAAAAAGCAGAACATTCCAGGATCAAATCAGAAACTGGGGTGGCTTCTATAAATCTGGGACTGTCCCTGGAAAATAGGGACACTTAGAGGGTCTGAAATACAACTGCCCAGGTCTTGGAGTGCTGCTCTGAAGTGGAGGGCTCAAGGCCTCACTACAAGGACCAATGCTCTGACCGTGTTGGGCAATTTGACAGGTTCGAGCGTTATATTGCACAGAGAACACTTGGCGGCTGGATTACCAAAACATTGTCTTCCTGGAAATGTTTTTGTTTTTTTTACAGAAGAGTAATGTAAATCAGACTGAGAAGCGACAATTGCCCTTTTGCATCTCATCTGCCTTTAGTGGGAAAAATGGCAACTCTATGAAGCTGTCCTGTTTTTAGAAAATCCATCCCTCACTCACGATTTTGTTAATCATCATAGAAAGCTCTTCTTAACTATTAGAATGACAGACTCGCTTGCAAAAAAATGTTTTGGCTGCAGTCCATATGGCTTTTTAAGGACTTTCTGGAGGAAAATCACATTCCCCTTTTTCCCTTCATGGAAAGCATGCTTTGCCATGATTCATAAACCCCATTTTATCCAGTCCATGAAAGGGCTTCTCTCCATTATGTAAAAGAGAGCTGACACATTTATGTGCAAAATTGCTGGAGCATTTACCCCACTATTCATCAAGACAATGTCTTGTGTTCTAGGAACACAGCAATTGCCTGGCACAAACAGTTTAAAGCACATATATACAAACTATGTGAAACCCGTGAAAAGAGTTTAAATCACATATACAAATTATGTGAAACATAACAATCCTTGGCACATGTGGCAGGTAAAAAAAAAGTGACAGATGTGATTATGAATAAACTAAGTGCCATTGTCACATTAGCTTTCTACTGAATAGGCTTAGGGGACTGGAAATGGCATGCAGTGTGGAAATTTCAAACTGGTGTTTTTATATCAAAATATCTGCAATAGAAAATAATGTTTGGCCCATAAGTATTGAAAACTGTAGCCATCCTTGTGATAAATGTCCTTGGTGAATTGATTTCCATGCATATACAATGTAAATAATACCGCTAAACATTGTTTTTAAGTAGTTAAAATTGATTACATCTGTTAGTTGTCTCCTACTCTTTTGTCTTAATAGATTGTCCCAAAGTGAGCCATGGGACCCCAGCATTGTCCAACACCTAGGCCTGAGACCTGTCGGCACACCCCAAAATTGAGCCTAGCGTAGAAACGTAGGAAGCCTGTCTGTTGCCGAGTCAGACTGTTGGTCCATATAGCTCAGTATTGTCTACACTGAGTGGCAGCTGCTCTCAAGGGTTTCAAACAGAAGGCTCTGCCAGCCCTACCTGGAGATGCCAGGGATTGAACCTGTGATCTTCTGCTTCCAAGGCAGACATCCCACCACTCAGCAATTAAGGTCCTTTGGTACAGAAAATCTCCATCCTCCTGAAGACACAGCAAGCCCAGCTCATTTAGTGTTTACTTTGTCTGAAATATATGCTTTGAACCTTTTGCCCTTCATTTTGGTAGGACTCTCAAACTCGAGCCAATATAGTAACAAATTTGTAATGAAGCAAATTTATGAGGTGTAAAAAAAGGATTTAATGCTACAACGCATGAGCTAGGTAGTTATTCCATTTTTCCTACCTTGCCTTTGAGAGCATATTACCCACCCCCACCCCCCAAAAAATGAAGCTTTAGTGATGCACACTCCTATTTTCTAGATTTATTTCTGAACAAGTTGTATAGCTTATACAAGTTGGCAGTTTCTTCCATGGAACCTGTTCTGTTTCATTCTAGATCAAAACCAACCCATGGCATAAGAGAGTGAAGATGCTTTAGCATGAAAATCTTAAAAACTAGTATAGTAAAATAGCAGCACTTCTCTGTGTGTATGAAATAAAATTGCAACACGTACTTCCCTCTATGTGCACATTGATTAGGATGGTCTTTCAAAAAGGGACTCCCTCCCTTCATTTCCTGAGATGCGAGTTTCTCCGGGTTCAAAGCACACTCCTGTGTTTTTATAAACCTCATTTCCCTTCCCACTAATTTAGGTGACTATCGATCTGGCTTACACCAGAAGGATGTTTTTAATACCCAGTGCACCTTTCCATAAAAGCACTGCAGTTCCTCACTTCGCACACCGAATTGTTTCTCCAAAAGTGATGGTACCAAAAAGTAGCAAGGGACAGCAGCTGTCCCCATTGCTCAATTTATTCCTGTTTTCTCTGTATATATTTTTTACTATTCACCATCACATTCCACTTCCATAAAAACATCTTTGCCCTCCACCCTACAAATTCCAGGTGGCCAAATTGTTGACCCTCCCTAATGATTCCTGAAGTAATTGTTAAATCCAACGGGGAACCGTAGTGTGCATGGCAGGGGAAAAAATACACTGTCTTGTGGTACTTTAACAAATGTATTGTGGCATAAGTTGCCATGATTCACAGTGGCAATGCCTGTTTCTCTAGTCTATAGCCTCAATCATGACCTGGGTAACTAATACATTTAGGTGCATATGGAAGTTCAGGATCCAAGCAGGTTTTCATGCTGCTTAACAATCATATCCATGCTCCGCCTTGTCTGCTTGTGGAATCTGTGGTGTATAGAACAATGATTATGTCCACAACTCAGAGACCTTAATTAAATAAAATGCAGACCACAGCAGATGTGGGACAAAGGAAGGAAATTAATAAAGGGCTGGTAGATTATAAACACAAGGCAAAAGAGAAATTTGTCTGCAGCTATACCACCTTGGACTGACACCGCCAGATTGTGTACTGCAAACAAGATTGGGATTGGTCAGTATGTTGATAAGAGACCCCAAAGAATATCACAGGGTTTTACGAAATATTATAAGCAGAGATGTTACCATTTTCAATTACTGGCATAAGAACATAAGAAGAGACTTGCTGGATCAGACCAAAGGCCCATCTAATCCAGCGTTCTGTTCCCACAGTGGTCAACCAGCTGCCTATGGAAGCCCACAAGCAGGACATGAATGCAAGAGCACATAAGTGTCAGAAGCTGCAAAGCGCCACAGTCAGAAAGCAGGACGTGGTAGGATAAGAGATCGCATTAATCCTAAGAAAGATCAAAATATGATATTTTCAAAATTAGCTGGCTCAAGCATTTGGAAAGGAGTAATCAAAAGAGAAAACTTGATTTCCAAGCTCTCCCTTGAATATACTTCAGGCCTCCAGTGACCCAACAATCACCAGGCTCATCTGTAAGCTGCCATAGCTCTCAACTTGCTTAAGTAGTTCCACAGTTCACAGATGGCTAACGTTTGGTACAAAACAAGCTGGTTAGGATTGGGACAAAGATCACATAAACTCATGGGAGGAAGGCAAAAATCAGGAGGCAGATTTGCTGTTTTTCAGAGGGGAACGTGCATGCCTTATTTTGCTACCTTCAGGAGGAAGGAGCCTAACCTTTAGAAGTGGCTGTGATAGGAGTATCTTCTTAGTTCTAACTTTATTTTACCAATGGCAACAGTGGGAGGGCCGGAGCTAAGTGGTAGACTTTGCAGGCAGTCAATCCCAGGATCAGTTCCCAGCATCTCCAGGTGGAACTGGGAAATACCCTGACTGAAATCCTGGAGAACCTCTGCTAGTCAATGCAGACCAACTTTTCATATCAAGTGGGCCACAACTTTGACACAGAACCCACAGGCTGCACACTGCCTTGCAGGGGAGGGGAGCAGTGGGGCTGAACCCCCCCCCCTTCACACTGCTGGGTAAATGAAGTGTTGAGCTTTGGAAGGAGGTGTGAGGCTCTGGCGGGGTACTAGAGCCCTCCTACCTCCTTCCGAAAGCTTGGAAAGCACTAACTAGGCTTTGGGAAGGAGGCAGGAGGAATCTACGACCCTGTCAGAGTTCTCCCACCTCCTTCCGAAGACTCATCGCCTCATTTACCCAGCTTTCGGAAAGCAGTGCAAGGGCTGCGAGGCATCACATGTTGCTGAGGGCTGCCCAAAAAGACGTGTTGGTCCACCCTGATGTAGATGACACCGAGTTAGATGAACTAATGGGCTGACTCATTGTAAGCTGGCTTCTTGTGTCCTGATGGAACAGCCCTGCAACCCAGCCTCCCTACTCACCACACCAAAATAACCCAAACTGTGGCCACAATGTTTTCTTCTCAAAATACTCTCAAATAACACTACATGTGTGTCGTTTTTGGAGTTTTGATAACAGTGCAGAGCTGCTAACAGTGAAGCTCTGCAGCTAATGCCTGCAACTAAGGCTGCCCAGGGCTAAAGGAGAAGGACTCCCTGAGGGTGGCAAAGGGTTGACATTTGTCCCCTGAAGATAAGGCAGGGTGGAGTGGGTGGGTACAGACCTAAAAATTATGATTTCAAAATTCTTAAAATGGGATGCAACCTCAAAACCCTTGATCAATAAAACCATCTGCCATACTGTGCTTAGAACAATTTTCTCAGTAAAAACAATGTACGTAGGGGGTTTTTTTGTGAGAAGGGATTCATAGCACGCACCTCAGCTACAAGTAAAACTTGAATGTCCTAAAGCTCTACTAACATTCATCCTATGTATGTTAAACCACATTTTTGTTTCCCCTAACTTCCTCAGTTTGTGGAATATGTTCATTTTTTGTTATGGAATGGCTAGGGTACGCTACATCTAATAGCCGCTTTTCACTCCCTTGTTGGTAATAGAAATGTGTCCCTTTAGTGTTTTAGTGATCAGTAGTACAACCAGGCTGAGGGCCTAAATAAGCATATTTTTGCAGCCTTTGTTGACTTTCCATCTGCTTTCCATCTAGTGAATAAGAGTCAGCTGTGACATAAATTGGCTAAAACTAGTATCAATAAAATATCACTTTGGCTTATTGAGATATTGCACCAAGACAACATGCAAGTTAAAAGAGGTCTACAAGGTATCTTAACAGAAGGAACCCCTATCAACATCTGAGTAAACAGAGCTGTCTTCTGGGCCCTTTTCTCTATAACATGTCTATCAGGGATCTCATTCCTAGAATGACTTCGTCTTTATTCTTTGCACTTCCAGTTGTAAAATGTAAGGTATTGGTCCTGCATTATGTCAGTGATTTGGCACTGATTTCTTTAAATAGAAATGGCCTTAACAGAACATTGCTCAGCTTTAGACATTTTTGCAGGGAGGAAATCTAACAGTTAACTACCTAAAAACTAAGGTCATGGTCTTTGTAAACAGATCTCAAACTGTGGGCCAGGCACAGTGAGGCTGCGGGTGGCAGGGCCAAGGCATTGGAAGATACGAAAATCACAGGACAATTTTTCGGGGATTAAACAGGCCACAGCTTTATCAATTACAGATGTCAGTAGGTTTTGGCGTAGGCATTGGGTGTATATCCCGAATCACCCAACCCATCTGCTGGTCGATTATTTTGGCAGGGTTAATCCAAGGTTAAGGATTGCCCTATGGCATACATCAAATAGGGGCGACCCCTCCTAGATCACCATTTGGGGTGTGTGCTATGGCCCATCAGCCCCCATCTGAACTTCTGGATAGAAGCACCTCCCCCTGGACCCCTTTAACAGGGTACCCTGATTCCTTGGAGCAGGGAGGGGGCTCCCAACACACACACCCCATCCACTAAAGGATCTAACCCGATGTCTTATCCGCCTTATCTGGCAAAACCCCCAGATAGGCCCAATTTGTCTGAAGACAAGTTCCTCCCTGGTCCTGAATATGGCAACCAAATAGTTTCATAGCTAGGTCTTATGTGCGACATAACTGCTTACCTTTGAGCAGAATCCCATCCCTTGTGAGAACTGGGATGGGCCAGATTCTGATGTGCCCATTCATTCCTACTGGTTGCCATGCTCTTAGAAACTAAAATTTTGATCATAATCCACAGTGATCATAAGTGATGAGGTTTCCCAGCTCAGACAAGGAAGCTCTTCTCCTACAAATTAAGAATTGCCGCATTATCCTGACATATGTTTTTAACAGCTGCATGAGGGGCAAATCTATGCTCATTATATCTCCATCTCAAGAAGAGCTGCACCTGTTGAATTTCTGCATGTCAAACTGCTTAAAAGAGGCAGAGAGTCTTTGTTAGGGCTCCTTTTTATTTTTGCCTATTAGTAACTTGAAGTAAAATTAATCTTTTCTAACTTGAGGCTTTCAGTGCAGAAAGACTTCCTGCTCCATTAAAAAGAAATTTTCACTCATGTTGTAATGGAAAACACCGAGTTCAGGTAGGAAAGTGGGCTCCTTTAAATATTTCAATTCTTCTGCCCAAATATGCTTTAAGTGAAACAGACCCTGACCAATAAATTACTTTACCTGTCTATATGCAACCAACTGATTTAGTGCTATCCACAGTACAGATGATCGGTGATAACATTGTAGGTGTTTAAACGTTTTAGCACTCTAATGTGAAACAGTGGCAAAGTGATGGAAGCCTA